TTTACCATCTGTGCCTGTTCCCTCATATCAGTCACTGGATCTCCTTCCTCCTTATTTAGTGGTCCCACCACTTTTCTCCCCTTCCTCTTCCTATTTACATGCTGAAAGAAGCCCTTTTTGTTGCATTTGATATTCTTGGCAAGTCTCAGCCTTAGCCTTGCGAAGAATCCTTCTGCAACGGGCCTCCTCCTACTGGTATACCCTTTTGTCTATTTGCCCCAGTACCCATTTCCTACAGAGGTTCCTCTTTCATCTAATCCCTCTAACCACCCGCTTTCGCATCCATGGCGGCACTCTCCTCCACCTCCCTACCTTACTGACTAGAGGTATTGTCAAGGCTTGTGCCTCCAAAATCTCGCTTTTGAGTGCTATCCACCCCTCCTCAACTCGCTTACCTTCCAGTAACCTATCCCAGGAGACTTTCCCCAGTCTGGCCTTCAGTTGGCCAAAGTTGGCCCTCTTGAAGTCCCAGCTTCTAGTGCTCGACCTGCTGCATGTCCCCAGTCCCCTGATCTCAAAGCAAAGGATGGAGTGATCACTCGCATCCAGAGCTCCCCTATTCTGTACTTCATCTATCAGCTCCTCCCTATTGGTCAAGACCAAGTCAAGGATGTTTCCTCCCCTCATCGCCTCTCGGACCCTCTGTGTGAAAAACCCTCTCTCTATAGCTTCTAGGAAGCGACGTGACCTGGCTGTCACCGCCGAGTGAGTCTCCCAACTAATATCCGGGAGATTGAAATCTCCCATAATTACTGTGTCTCTCTCCCGAGATATCCTTAGAATCTGGCCTGTCAGGACATCATCCAGGGTCTCAAGTTGACCTGGAGGGCAATAACATACCCCCACTGTCAGGTCTCTTTCCTGTCAAAACCCCTAAGTTTTACCCAGACTGCCTCTACCGAATCCCCATCTGTGCTGCATTCTATCTCACTGCATCCTATCCCTTCCCTGATGTATAAAGCCACACCCCCAACTCTCTTTCCCTTCTTGTCCTTTCTAAAAAGGTGATACCCTTCTATGTTCACATTCCAGACTTACCTTTCATCCCACCAAGTTTCTGTGATTCCCACCAGGTCATACCCTCCTATTCCCAGGAGAACTTCAAGCTCTTCCTGCTTATTACCCATGCTCCCAGCATTGGTGTACATGCATCTCAACTCCTTCCCACCACTTCCTTTCCTTGGAGTTCCCAGCCTCCTCCTTCCTCCCATCCTCCCTGATACCTGGCCCCTCTCTGTAGGAGTCCTGTCAGTCCCTGCACTACCTCTAAAACCCTGCTCCCAGAGCTCTGATCCTCCCCCCACACTTGTCCAGTGCAGACACGTTCCTGGGGGGCCTGAACCCGCACCCCCCCCCGGCTCAGTTTAAAGTCTTCCGGACGAAGCTCGCTAGAGCATCTCCAAAGGACCTTTTCCCCATCCTCGTGAGGTGTAACCCATCCCTTGCCAGAAGTCCACTGGCAAGAAACTGAGTGCCGTGGTTGAGGAACCCGAAGTGTTCCTTCTGGCACCACACCCTAAGCCAGTCGTTCACCTCGGAGGCCCTCCTGTCCCTTCCTGGCCCAAATCCCCAGACAGGTAAGATTGATGAGAAGGCCACTTGGGTCTTTAGCTGAGTTTCTTCCCCAAGGCCTCAAAAGTCCCTGGTGGTCCCAACCACACCCTGCCTGGCCACATCGTTTGTGCCCACATGGATCACCAGGAGCCGATGGTGATCCCTGGAGTGAACAAGATGCTCCACTCTGTCCTTCACATGCCGGATGTGTGCGCCCGGAAGGCAGCAAACCTCCCTTGTCTCCAGGTTGGGGCGGCACACTGCCGCCTCAGTGCCCCTCAGCAGGGAGTCCCCAACAACAATCACCTGCCACCGTACCTTCCCGGTGCTGGTGGGTGGCTGTGCCCTGGCCCTCACCTCTCCTGCAGCGGCCCCCTTGCTGCCTGATGTCCCAGGCTGGGGGTCCTGCTGGTCCCCCAAGGCCTCATCAGCTCCAGCCTCCCCAAGTGGAGAGAACCTGTTTCCCAGCTCCAGATTGGTGCCAGAAGGAGGAGGCCATGCTGGCCTCCTTGTCCTGTGGGTGACATACCTCCATGTCTCTGTAGCTGCTCCTCCCATGGCCTCTCCCTCAACCCTCTGTTCAGAGGGGGACTGTTCCGGGAGGGGGGCCTGGAGAGCTCTCTCGGCCCTCAGGCACCTCACCTCTTCTTCTAGCAGGGTCACCATCTTGCACCGAGGGCAAGTGTATCCCTGCCTCTCTTGGGGGAGAAGGGTGAACATGTCGCAGCTCTCGCAGCGGACAACAACACCCGTGACTCACGCCAAGGCCATCTCCTGGTCTGCCATCGGTATCCCTTCCGAGATCTTACCTTGGTCCCCTGCCTTGTTTGTCCTGCAGTTCCTCTCACTCGCCCAGTTCTCCCAGACAAAAACCCACTTGCACACACACACACACAAGGATAAAATAAACTTAAATTTAAATTGGAAGAAAAACAAAGCAAAGCAAAGCACAAAAAAACAAACAAACAAACCTCTGTGTCCCAGGGAAGGGAGTCCCTGGACAGCCCGGGCCTCAGCTAAGGGACACAGACAAGGGACGACGCCAAGAGGCCAGAGCCAAAAGGGCTTGCAGTGGCTGAGCGCGGACTTATCAGTCCCTCAGGCCGGCGGCCCTGCCTGTCTGCTTCCTCCTTGCTCCTCTAGCCTCTCTGGCCCCACCTCCTTCCTCTCTGCTGCTCCTGGCCCTCTGCTCCGCTGCCCAGCTCCTACTTTGCCTTTGCCAGTCCCCTGGCCACTCAGTGCTCTCTCCCAGCTTGTGCCTCTGCTGCTCTGCCAAGAGGCCAGAGCCAAAAGGCCCATTCTGACACCCTAGTCCTTCTAATTGCAAATGCAGATGGAAAGGACCTACAGTATTCTCCCCTCAAATCAATGCCATCCAGGTTTGGCTGAGGATGCTGGAAGCTGTTGTCAAACACCTGAAAGGCTTGTGTTTCCTTGTATTTCTTCTATTTCCCTCCCCTTTTACAAAATAAAGGTGAAAAACATTTTGGTATGGTTTTTTAGCCTAACAATGCCAATATTTTCAGGGTCATACAGTGTCTTGTGTAGTTCTTTCACAGTGGGTTTCTCACATGTCCCTTCCTCAAGTAACTTAAAGAGGTTTGAGAGTTCCACTGCTTCCACGGGTGTAGACTGTTTTCTAAGTCTTCTGTGTCTGTTACTCTGTTCCAGCAAGTATCTTCATTTTCCCTTACCTTAGAGTTCCTTATGAGTCCCTTATGAATCTTTCCCCAAATCTTCAATTAGGAGAGAGATTATCCACTGTAGATCAAAGTACAAATGAAGATTTTATATCGTTTTCTTCAAACAGTTGAAATTTGCAGTGTATTCTAGTGTTTTATTTTCTGACATGGCTTGACAACTATTTAAACATGTTTGACTTGTTCCAGAAGATGTGGATCAGTTGTCATATAGGGACAGAGCTTCATAAATAAATACTTTTGTTATTATATGTCACAGATTCTGTTTACAATGCAAATTTCAAGCATGTTGGTAAAATGCAGGATTTACAGGTAAAGAAATTTAAAACACTGGCTGTTTGGATGGGTAGTTTATTGTATTCAACAAGTCTAAAGTTGTGGAGCAAAAATAACTACCCTTAATGTTAGTTATTTGTATTTTATTTGTATTACATCTTCATTACAAGAGAAGTAGCTTCAAAAATACAAATCTTCAAGTGTTCATTGATAATGCACTGTTGACAGAGAGATGAGTCATGCATGCAAAAAATAGTGGAAGGATACAATCCCTAAGAATACTAAAATAATTTTGCCAGTTGCTCAGTGTCCAGGAAACCCAACTTTTTAGATGCTGTCTGATCTGCTTAAGCAAAGTATGTGGAAATGTGTATTTAAAGTGAAGTCTCTTTGAATAATGCTTCTTTTTCACATTTTTAATCCATTACATTAAACATTAGGTAATGAAAGTTAACAGCTCAGGGTTTTAATCTGAAAATTACAGTATCCAAATTTACTTGTTAAATGTTCACTAACCAACATACATATTGATGATTGCCCCCTACTGTTTAGAACATGTGTTATCTCAGTACAAACACACATACATTTATAATTTTTCCATCAGATGCTATCACAATTACCTTAAGTGTTCATATATCTTAAGAACATGAGCAATACTTGGGACTGGATATTTTTAACAGACAACTTGTTCCAACATTATCACTGCAAATTTTAAAGCATTATAAATACATAGACCATTTATACCCATCTTGATGTTAACACCATAGCAGACCCTGTAATCACATTTGTAAATTGCTTCACATTTAATCTATGTGTTGTGCAATGTATCTACACTGTTTCTCTGGGATTTCCCCATCTCGTGCTACTTTGTATTAATGACTGCCACTTAACTGCAGTCAGGTTCCATCAATAACAAAACTAACATGGAAGAAAAGCAATTTCTCAAGCACTGTAAACAAAGAGTAAGCTCAAATAACGTCAAATTGAGTTGTCTGTTTTCAAAAACAAATGCAAAGTTATATAAGTTCTGTTAACTGGGAACTCAGTGCTGTTGACTTTATAGCAGTCTTTCCCAACCTTTGCCTTCTAGGCAGATTTGAACTGCAACACCCAGAATTCCCAGTCAATGGTCCTGCTGTATGGGAATTCTGGAAATTGCAGTCCAAATCCTTCCGAAGGCCACCAGGGTAGGGAAGCCTGCTTTATAATATAGCAGGTAATATGTAAGTATAAGACATGATTTATATAAATCAACTGCTGTTCACCATGCTGCTTTTTAACCTGTGAGGTACAAACTGAACAACAACACACAGTACAAGTGTATCATTAGTGCATCACACAGATTACAGAAATGTTTACATTTACATCATGCACCAATCTTTCAAGATAGCAGCTATTGCTTTGAACAGCATTTTTTGAGGACCACTGAGTGAATGTGTGTGTGTGTCATGAGAAAAAAGAGCACTGCGATTACACTGTGTTTGCTGAATTAGGAGAAGCTGTTCCTTCCTTAGTCAGAAAAGCATCAAGTGAAGCGCATGTTTCAAGGAAAACTTCTTCCGGTGTTCCTTCTGCATTTATCTATTAAAAAAAGATTTTGCATCAGATATTTAAACATCAAACGTGAAGCCATTCTGACACCCTAGTCCTTCTAATTGCAAATGCAGATGGTAAGGACCTACAGTATTCTCCCCCCAAATCAATGCCATCCAGGTTTGATGCTGGAAGCTGTTGTCAAACACCTGAAAGGCTTGTGTTAGAAATGGCCAGCCTACAGGACTGGAATCAAACTGGGTCCACTGAATAAAATTTTAAGACTTGCAAAGTACAATGTACATATGCAGATAGGGGAGGACCCCAAAGGAACAGGAATCTGATCATGCTCAGCACCCAGGGAATGAAGTGTTGAGCAGAAGAAAATTAGGAAACCAGGTTGGTGGGGGGGGGGGGGGGGTGGAATCTTGAACAGATAGCATTCTACTAGGAGGGCAAGCTAACATTTTCTTGCATGTCTTGATTGCAATGCAGATATGAAAGTGAATTGTAATGCTTGCATCTGAACTAAGCTGTAAGCAGAAACTGGAGCAACAGCTGATCAAATGCTGGAGTACTTTGTATTTCATTTATTTGATTTATATCTCAGCTTTTTCTTTTAAAGAACTCAAAGAAGCTTCTATCATTCTCTTCCGGCTGCTCTCAACAAGATCCCCACAACAACAACATAGAAACAGAGCAAGTCAGAAGGGGTCTCCTGGGTCATCTACTCTGACCCCTGGCTCCAGCTGGTTCTGCTCATGACATGCCTACCATGTGCATGTCTAGCCTATCCTTGAACACCCTCATCAATGGGGCTTCAGCCACCTCCCATGGAAGTCCATTCCATACCCTCAGGGTTCTAACTGTCAGGAAGTACTTCCTGGCATCCAAATTGAACCTTGGTTCTCTGAGCATGGTTCCACTGGAACCTGTCCTCTGCAGGGAAGAACAAGTCTCTACCCACCTCTGTGTGACACCCCCTCACATACCTATATGTCACCAACAGATCCCCTCGGAGTCTCCTCTTCTCCAGGCTGAGAAGACCCAGTTCACTCAGTCTTGCCTCATACGGCTTTCCCTGTCAGTACTGTCATTTCTATTTTCTACTTGTTTGAAATATTAGCATGATGTGACCTCAGGATTTCTGAGCACAACATTCTGAACAGTTCTTCAACAGGGCATTATTCAATAGCTTTAGATAAACAAATAAAATTTTGTCAGATGAACATATTGATTGTATTTGGCCAGGTATGATGGAAAGAAAAGGAACTATTTACTTCACAAGAGAAATGGTGTGTTTATTTTTCAAAACTGGGCCAAAGCTTTGGGGCGCTCTCCCTCCCTCACACCTATACCTATACAGTGCTTTTTTTCTAAAAAAAAAAAAAAAAAGGTGCCGGAACTCACATCTTGGGGTCACACTTTTACACTAAAAAAGATTTTCAATTCACCAACTTTTTTTGAAATAAAGAACTTATTTACCTTTTGCACATAGCCAGTCACTCTACATACACATAAACAGAATGGTCGCCGCCGGCAGTAAGCACTCAGCGCGTGACCACACGACCAATCCCAAGCTGAGCAGCATCCCAAGCCGAGCAGGACCCTCACAACCAGCACGGACACACAAGCAGCCTGCATGCACAATTTTAATGATTTTTGCCGCCGATCTGCTATGGCCGACAGGGCGATTCACACGTGGAAAAATCCATCAAAAAATGGTGCTGGAATGCCGTTCCGGTACATTCTGTGACAAAAAAAGCCCTGCCTATACCTATATCTATGCCTATATCTATATATCAGTTTCATATATACATATAAACATTCATATATACAATTGAATTCATTTTCTTGAACACCTTTTGGTTCAGGGAGAGAAAGAACAATAGTACTATTATAACACTATAAACCATTTACCTTAAACAGTGGAATTTTGTTTTCATAGAATGTGATCACAGGTTCAATGGATTGGTAATAATTCTCAATGCGCTTCATTATGGCTTCAGCATTATCTTCAAGGCTACTTTTACTTCTTTTCAGAAGGCGACTGCTCATTGTCTTAGAGGAACAATCCATGCAGAGCACTAGAGATGGCTCTCCAATCTGAAATTAAGAAAAGAGAGGGTGTCCAGATTCTTCAAAGCCTTTCTTTGGCTGAAGAATCCCTCCCTTTACTGATTTTTTTTTAAAGCTATTTTCAGCACAGTTTTTTCCTTCATGAGAGTAATGTCAGAATGCATACAATATATAGGGATTTTCCAGACAAGATTCATACAGGTGATTTCTTGATATGCTGACTACATCTTTCTCCAGTTGCCACATGTGTCTTTATGTCCCAATGTGGCATGAGGGTAGCCCTGTGTGCTCATAGACATTTGGTCTATCATTACAATAACCTGGTGGTACAGACATCAAGAGAGCTGCAAATGGAACTCCTAATTAGGACATATGAAGCTGCCTTACATTGAGTGAGACTAGTGGCACATTTTGCTCAGTATAGAATCATAACATTCTAGAGTTGGAAGGGGCCATGAAGGCCATTGAGTCCAACCTCCTGCTGTTGCAGGACATCATGTTATAGCATCACCACTCAGATGGCTGTCCAGTTTCTTTTTGAATGTTTCTAGTGTGGAAGTTTTCCACCAGGCTCAGCATGCTAACTGATCAGCCTCAGCATAGCAACTCTCCCCCCATCTAGTAATTTGTTCCCCCTCAGTCCTCCATATGGTATCCCAGGAGACACCATGGGGAGGAATGAAACTGCTTGCTTGGATAGCTGCAGTCGTGAGCTGAGCTGTCAAGCAGTCCCTGCTGCACAAAGAAGGCTTATACCCTGAAGTGCAGCTGAGAGGACAAGGAGCTGGTCACACCTGCTCCAGATGGAACTATTTAAGTAGGAGCTGGTGCCTGATCCATGCTTAGGCTACAGGTGGGGGAAAATCTGCTGGGCATCACTGAAGAAAGGAGCAGCACTACTCAGTTGATCCCCCGCCCCTTGGCACACAGAGTGAAGTGCCTTGTGCTCCTCCTTATGAGTCACCAGTGGGAGCAAGAAGCACCTGTGCAGTTGCCACAGAAAGGGGCAGCGCTGCTCAGCTGTTCCCCTCTGCCCTGGCTTCATAGGTTAGTGACATCTCTTGGGAAAACCAGAGCAAGAAAGAGCAGTGGCTACTGTGAAGTGCAGCCCTGAACCAGGCCCAGCTGCCCAGCTTTTTCTCACCCTTGTTCATTTGCATGCAAAGTGCTTTGCTCTAGCACCTCCCAAGGGGCAGAGGAAGAGGAGGATCTGTTCTGAGATGGTCAAAGACTTGTCAGTGGGCAGAGGAAGAACCAATTGAGCAGTGCTGCACCTTTCTGCAGTGCTACCCAGGTACTTCTTGCTTCTGTCACTGACTCACAAGGAACAGTGTGAAGCACTTTGCTTTGGTGCACATAAAGGGGCAACAAGGGAAAATCTGTTGCTGCACACAGCTCCCAGGGATTTGGACAGTTGTGTCAAACAGCAGTTGTCAGTGGCATTCTCTGTTTAGCCACTTGGCAGGAGTGGCAATGGGTAACTCTTGCCAAGAGGCTCTGTGATTCTGGCCTCAGTACCATGCTGAGCTTTGTTTTAGGTAGGATGACACAACAAGCAAGCTACCAAGAAACCATGGAGCAGGCTACTGTTTCTTTTTGTGATCTGTATAACCAAACGTATCGTGTAGAAATGCCATGACAGGGTTTTGATGACACACAAAAAAACCCACGGCTTGTCATGCGAACTCACTCACAGCCTGGCAGCAGATGTCCAGTGGTTACCAGCTGCACCTGGAGAAGCCAACAATTGAACCTAGATCTTTTGTATGCAAAACAGATGCCCTTTGCATAGTGGCAATGCTCACCTGGCTTCCAAACTGTTCACCTTGCTTCAGTTCTTGGGGATAACCATCAATCAGGAACCATTTTGTGTCTCCCATACTGGCAACTACAGCTTCTTTAAAGAGCTCCAAAATAATATCCTTAATTGAAAAATGCAATATAATTTTGTTTAGGGCTCACTTTGAAAGTTCGAGTGCTTTATGCTTGTACTCCCTCCCCCCTCCCCCCTTTGGGGGTCATCTCTTCAAGCATATGTACTATGCTCCTATTCTTATTACCTGAAGTTCCTACCTGTTTCCTCTAGGCACAGACATTTTTACAGTTAGAAAAACAGATTCCAGCTATAGAACTACTGGACAAAGAGAGCTGGACTGACAGACTCACTATGCTACAGAGTATGAGCTCTCTGTAAATACAATAATCTGTGGAAACCTTTAAAATAATTTACATGAGGACAACAGTAAATTCTACAGTACCATGAGGGCTAACATATTTAATATTACACATTTTGAAGGCACTATCTTTGACCAATGCAGATGATTCTTCTGAAATGTGTTGTTCATAAAGGCCATGACTAGTTTCCTTGAGTTAAATCTTTCAAAAGGTTGACATTCATAATGAACCTATCTTTTTCCACTGAAATCTCTACTTTTGGCATTGTTTTTGAAGTGTGTCATGAACGGTTCTGTTATAGAAAGTATCTTCTCTAGGGAATCATGGCTTACCCCTGGTACAAGTTCACCACTTTCCATGTTATCTTTTATGATGTTACTTCTTTCTGATATTGATGACATTTCACGTTGGATGAGAACTTCTGTGGACAGATGTGTGAATCCATATCTCTGTGCTATTTTCTTGCACTGTGTTCCTTTGCCAGAACCTGGGCCACCTTTGTGAGTAAGCACAAGTTCTGATATTAGAGACAGACCAACCAACTCACTGTGGAAGAAAAAAATAAAATGTTAATAAGGGGAGCTGTGGGCAAAAGAAAGCACTTTTGAATGCACCAAGCACTGTTAACATCTCAGTAGACAATGCAAATAGCTAAGATTTAACTTATTTTACCTCTTAACTTAAATATTTTATTTTTGGGTGAAGGAAGGAGATTCAAAGAAGATGTGGATGCGGCAAAGGAAAGCGGTTGTTGCTGTTACTGCATTGTATTCATATCCCACCTGCTTTCCTCCCGTGAGGAATCCAAGGTTGCTTACATACCTCCATTTTATCCTCACACCAACAGCCCTGTGAGGTAGATTGGGCTGGCACTTGTAACACTATTTCACTACTAGCAAGGCCTATAAAAGTCAAAAGGAAAAAGCTGGAGGGGGGTGGGTTAGCAAGAGCTAAGGAATAAGGTACTCATTGTTTCCTCATTTCACAAGGAGCTCTGTAGTGCAGGCTTGCAATTAATCACTTGCTTGTGACAAATATGACTCACTTCCAGGCAACCAGTTTTGTAAATGACAGAGCTATGCCTTATTTTAATATCTTCCCCCACCATCCCAGCTGCTGCTTGATGCATCCCATTTATTTACATTGGGATGCAGTGTCAGGACAGGTAGAGACTCTTCTAAATGTAGGTGTAATTTAGAGTGATTAGTGTGATTTCTTAATGCCAATTTGCCATCAACAGAAATTTCATCAGGTGCACTTCAGTGATGGCTGCTGCAAATGCATCCCAAGAGACACCTGGAGGTAGACTGTTAGAAACAGAGGCAGGAAAGGCAGGCTCAGCCTGAGTCCTGACATTCTTTTCCCCATTGTTCCCACTGAATTTAAATTCAGAGTTTTACTTCAGCTTTTTAATTCTGAACAGAACCTATAGCAGTAAAATGGAAGCCTGTGGCCATATGCAAAGAAAGGCAGGTTGCTTACCTGTAACTGTTATTCTTTGAGTGGTCATCTGTGCATTCATACATAAGGGTTTTTGTACCTGCATGGTGTCCAGAATTGGTGTTGTACTACATCAACAAGTAAGGGGCACATGCTCCATCCCACTCACCAATCTTGCCACAGCTATCTGGGCTTGGTGCATCACCAGACGTATCACCTTCATGGTGATCCATGTGGCAAGCAAAGGCAACATCCTGGCAGACTCCCTCAGACACTCATGCCTAGACACCTACAGATAGGAGCTGAGTGAGATGGTCCTGCAGGATCTGCACAGCCAGTGGAGACTGCCATCAGTACCCCAGTGTCAATATCTGGGGTGTGGACAGCTGACTCTACCTGGCACAGGTACCAGACCCCAAGCAGCTAGACTAGAGTCTAAAGTCCAATCCAAATCTTAACCAACAGCCAAGTTCCATTCCAGAAGTAGAAGAACAAGGTTAGTCCAGTCCAAGAGGCAAAAGTGTGGTCGGGCAGCAGCAGGGGCACAACAAACAAGGACCACTGCAGCAAATCTGGGAACCTTCCTTGCCAAGGCATCTTCTGCAAGAAAGAACCAGTTCTTATATAGCTTTCCCCCAGGGCTCCCAGGTGGTGTTCATGAGAGCCCTGGTAGCTGCAGTAGATTGAGGGAGTAATCCTGCAACTACCAGGGCTGTTATGCTGGTCCATGGCCAGCAGACGGAGCCCTGAAGCTGCCCAAGACCCTGACATCCAGAAACACTACATGCCCACAGTTGTGCTCCAGGGCAGGACAAGAAACCTCCTAAAATAAGTAGAACAGGGTTCCAGTCTATTTCCACTCTTCCCATTGATCCCTAAGGTAATCTCCAAGATCCAGAGGAACAAAGCCAACTTCATCCTCAACACCCCCTGGTGGCCATGGCAGCCAAGGTTTGCCCGACTCCTCTGGCTCTCCCAAGGGAACTACTCCTCCCTCCCCCATACCCATGATCTGTTGTCACAAGACAGGGGTCAAGTCCTCCATCCGGACATCAGGATCCTGAACCTCCTAGCCTGAAGTTTCCACCACACACATAAGTGTGACCCTACCATCCAAGGTGTCCACCATACTGAACGCAGCCCTTAAGCCATCCAGAAGAAAATCCTATGTGGCTAAGTGGAATGTCTTCATCACATTTGCCCACTGACAAGTCTGACTGTCTCAGAACAAATCCTCCCATTCCTGCAAACCCACTTCAGGGATGGACTCAGCACCTCCAGAACAAGGCTATTCTCCACCCAGAGCTGGCCTTTAGGCCAATGGTCACTTCCACCTTCCACCTTGATGAAGACGTTGTGCTTCCTGCCTTCTTTGTCAACCCATCCATGCCAATAGTGTCTACTCTGCATCTAATTGTAAGCCCTCCTGAGACCCACTGGGTATTGGGTGGAGTAAAAAATACCCAAATAAATAAATAAATAAATAAATAAATACATCTACTTGATGGCAGAAGAGTGCTCATCTTCTACAAGTCCAGAACTGAGCAATTCTGCCACTTGTATGCTATAAAGGGCAGAAGAAAAAGGACACTGTCTTCTCATAGAGACTATCCAAATGGGTTGCCGGCACCTGCAACCTGGCTTAGAGATCACTGGTCTCCAGCTTTCCTCATGACCCAGGACCCACACCCCTTGAGTCTTAGGCACTTCCATGTCCCTCCTTGCCAGAGCCCCACTCCAAGACATCTGCAGAGCAGCCAAGTGGTCAATCCCCTCAAGCACTACAGACTGGACATCTGAACAAGAGCAGACTGTGCCTTTGGCAGGTCTGTCCTCTCTTCTATCCTCCAATGATGACAGCTCCCACCATCCTCTACAAGGTAAGCTAGCCAGTTGCCCATATGTGTGATGCTCAGAGACCATAAAGAAGAAAGGCTGGTTGCTTACCTGTAACTATGGTTCTTCAAGTGGTCATCTGTGCATTCACACAACCCACCCTCTGGCCCTGCTTGCTGTCATCCTGTTTAAACAACACCCTTCTCCTTGCCTGGGGATGCTTGGGGCCTGGAAGGGTAGAGGGCCACCCCTCTCCTACCCCCTCAGTCTGAGACGCTTGGTGATTTGCATAGGAACTGAGGGGATGGGCAAGAACCCCTCTCATGGCTTTCTGGGAACAGGATTGGGAGGGGTTCCCACCCACAACTTGAACACTTGGCTTTAGAAGCTTTTCTTGATTCTAGATTCTGTGCAATCGCAAAAGCTCATACATGAGATGAACAGAGACCATGAAGAACTGTCATGGACTCTTAGACCAGTGAAACCACAGTTCCATTGGCTTTACCTAATTCCCTGTGGTAGCTCTATTCTTGTCTCTGAGAAACACTGGGGGCAATTGTTGCTATGCCAGTAAGCAGTGGAGAAATTACTGCCTTTTATACATTCACTTGTGACAAGCAACATACACACTCTGAATCTAATACACCCTTGATGAGAAATTGTAGCCATTGTGACTACATGTAGGGTACTGCCCACTACTGTCTTGGACAGACATATTTTAATAGAAACCAATAATTTCTAGTGCCCAAACAAGCAATAGACACCAGCAGAGAAGAAACATCTAATTGCCACCCACAGCATGTCATGTTACAAAGGCTGGATATGAAGCTTGCCCTTTATGTTATGGAAAATGAGGAATCTGATAACCAAGAAACAAGAGCTAATAGAGAGGTGTGTGTATGCACACACACGTGTGTGTGTGTGTTTTGCTTCTTCTTCCACTTTCTTCACAGTAATAATACACTTTACCTGAGAAAAGAGCCCAAAATGCAGTTGCATCGACTGATAAAATAATCTCAAAAGCACAGCTATTGCCATTGAATTGCCATTTTCTTCTCATTTCTTTCTTATTCCTCAAAGGAAATCTAAATTTTCAGTTATAGAATACATTCCCCATATCTTCAAGAAAAAATGGTGAACACCAAAGATGTTTTTAAATGAATTCCATGCTCCAGTACTTAAAGCATTTTAGCCTATTTTAACAACAAAAGGAATAGTTCAGAGATGACTAGATGGCAGCAACCAAGCAAAGCAGCAGCAAGCAGAAGACTGACATAAATGCTTTTCTAACAGGAAAGAACCATTGTATTCTTGCTCTGTTTTGCCACCATATGCTGCTTCGCAACTGCTTTGAGGATAAAGGATCAGTAGGCACGAGGGCTCTTCCCTTCCTATGGCATTCTTTCTCTTAAATTTTCTTTGTATGTGTGTCCTAGTTTATGAAAAGTTTGTTCACACTTGAAACTAATTCTACATTTAGATACTTAGCTCAGTTGAAATCCAGTAGGATGCATTTCCATCTAAGTTCCTAAGTTCCATCTAAGATCCTACACAGGATCAGATTGCAATGAGAAAAACAAATTATTCGATTAGCAAAACTGGGCTTCCCATCAAAGCCGAAGAATTTTAGAATGGAGGGAGGTTGTATAAATTGACCTTCAATCACCACAGCCCACCACAGCATGTAGCAGGTGATGTCTGCAAATTCAAGCTGCAGATGTATCTCACAAATGTATCAGTCTCAGCATAGGTCATCATACAGGGCAGCCAAGGCTGTTTCCATGCCAAAACTAAGCCTGAACTCCAAGTGAAATGCTTCCAGTTAATCAGTTTCATCCAAAAGCACCTGAAGTTGATTGGCAACCACCCTCCCTGGAACCTTGCCCAGGAAAGAAATATTTGCTACTGGCCTGTAGTTGTTCAAATTTTCTCAGTCAAGGGAGGTTTCTTGAGAAATGCTCTCTCTACTGCCCTGATAAAGCACCATGGGAGCACTCCCTCTCACAAAGAGGCATTGATGACCTCCCTGACTGAGCTGGTTAAACTTTCCATGCTGGCTTTTATATGCCAGGAGCGGTAAGGATTCAGTACAGAGGTGGTTGCATGAACCTGTCCAATCACTTTATCCATATCCTTGAGCTGTACCTGCTGAAACTCATCCAACAAAACTGGACCAGACTACGCTCTCGATAGCTGCACTGATTCAATTGCTGTAACTGT